AAATGGTATTTATTTAAAATAAATAGGGTACTAAGGTTTTCTATAGGGTGTAAAAATTCCTTTCATATAAGCACAAGTGCATGTACGTTCGCATGTCCATGAGTCCGTCTTATGTTTTACTGATTCTCGGAATTTAAGTAGTCAATTAATTCAATGATGTATAAATATTTAAGCAGAAAGGCAACTGTTAGAAACTTTTTATTTTGTGCCTCACACAATTGACGTTAGTTGTGAGAGGCCTTTTTTTTCTCACATATTTGTGGGCACAGAATTTTGTGGATCCACATGTATAAGATATGGGTCCACAAATATATGATATAAAAAGAGGTCTCACACAACTAGCGTCAGTTATGTAAGGCTCAAAATAAAATCACTCGCAACTGCTCTAGTACTTCTTCATTTTATTTATCTATAATCATAGTTCTATTGGCATGGAAACAAAAAGTGATGTGATTATGGGTGTGTTTGGTACGAAGAAAAATATTTTTAATTTTTTCATATTTTGTTGAATTAAATGTTTTGAAAAATATTTTCCTTATAAACTCATTTTCCTCCAATTTCTCTTTTTTTCCTTAAGAAAGGGTAGGCGTGTGCACTAATAATCTCCTGCTATGCATGGGGTTCGGGGAAGGGCCGGGCCATATTATCAAGAGAAAGGAAAATATTTTCCAAAACTCCTTTTCAACCTTCCCCATCCTCACCAACCCACCGAGGGACGAATTTACATGGACCCAAGCGATGTCATGGGACACCGCTTAATCGAAATTATTTATTATTTATATATATAAAAATAATAAGTAAAACCAAAATACAAGATACAATCATTAAATGTGACAATACTTGTATTGAAATAGCTCAATAGTCTAGTGGTTGACAACTTCAAGTTTGATATGAAAGGTCTAGGGTTCGATCTCCCTTAACTCTACAAAATATTTTTTGACTGTTACGGGCATGTTGCTAGAAATAGTGACACCGCTTATGAAAAATCTTGCGTACGCCACTGATTACCCACCCCACACCCACCAACCCAACCCCACCCCACTCCTTATCTCCAAAAAGGTTTTTTTTAACTTTCAGTTTTTTTTCCGTCACCACCCACCCTGCTACGCTCCACCCTCCCACCCAAAAAAAATTCTTTTTTTTTTACTTTTTTTGTAATTTGAAATTTCCGTTTTTTTTTTCGTTTTTCTGCACAATCCCCCCTCCCGGAAAAAAATATTTTTTTGTATATTTTCAGTTTTAGTTTTTTCATCTTACGGTTACAAGTTCAAAATTATACAAGTTCCAAAGTTATGAGTTTAGAGTTTTATGTGTTTGGAAGTTTACAGGTTTAGAATTTATAAAGTTTACAGGTTCGAAAGTTCGCGGTTTCGAAAGTTTATGAAAATTGTGGGTTCGAAAGGTTGTTGGTTCGAAAGTTTATGGTTTCATGTTTATTGTATCTAAATTGTTTATGAATACTCTTGAGAAGTTATTTTTCTTAATTTGCATACCAAACACTGAAAAATAAATAATATTACTACTTGTTTTTCAAAAAAATATTTTCTTGAAAAATATTTTCCGTTATACCAAACACACCCGATGTTTTATTTACGGTAAAAGGTCTGATATGTCCCTTTAATATTAACAATTATTTAAAAATATCCTTCGTTATACTATCGGGACATAAAATCCCTCACCGTTACAGTATTAAATAAAAATGCCCCTAATTAGACGGCATAGACACGTGACGTAACCTTAAAGCTGAAGAGAATCCGGTTCTTTTAATAACCCAACCCGCTCTGACCCACTAAATTGACCCACCCTTCTAAAACTAAAAACACGGCTTAGAACCTAACCTAAAAACACGGTTCTTAGTTCTTCTCTTTCACTCGCTCTAGAAGACTCCGTCCACAGAAGAAAAATTGTGAGATTTTCTCCGCAAATGAAGTAAAGGTAATATATTTCTCCATGAAAATGCTTCACTTTTCTTGTTTTAATTCTTTTTTGCTCAGATTTTTTATGTGTTTTCTATTATTATAGGGTTTTTCGCCTAGGGTTTTGATTTGTTGTGTTTTGTTGACATCCATATATTTATTTTTGTACTTTCAGTATTATATTCACATTTTTTGTCTGCTTCAAGTGTTTGCATGCTTTATTATTGATATGGTTCCGATGTGAAGTTATTTTTGGTCCCGACAAGATTTTGTTTTTGGTAGCTGGTTTAGGGTGTTTCTTCGTCCCAATATTCTGAGCTTTTTTTGTTGTTTAATAGGTAAATTTGTCCCTAATTTGTTACTTTTTGATTATAGTATTATGTGTGTAAGACCACATTCAATGAGTTTTTAGTTAATTTACTATGGAGTGGGCCTGAATCTGTACCTTTATGTGGTGTGGTCTTAAGATATGAACTTCTTCTTTATTTATTAAGTGATGTTGTCCCCATTTGTGTGACCTTTTGGTATTAAAGTATAATGTTAGTAGGACCACCTTCAATGGTGGTATGACATAGCTAAATGTGGTCTTTTATGTGTGAAGGGGGACCCCTACCCTTAGCTGATTTTTAAATTTAATTATTCTCTTTTTAGTTCTGCCATTTTATTGGTTTATTTATTCTTTGCTAACTTGACCTATTGGCTATATTTGTAGGTTATTGGAGATGGTGTTAGTAGATATAATATTCAATTATGGTGGTGATTGAGTTACACAGCCTGAGGTCTTATACACAAAGAAACTGGTGCACACTTGGACAGGTTATGACTCAGACTTACTTTCATATATAGACATAGTGAATGAATATATAAATGAGCTAGGGTTAGGGATTCAACATCTTATTGTTGCTTGTCCTTCTGGCAAATTTTATGAGATTGATGGGGATGTTGGGATTAGACAATTACTTAGCTTGATATGCGATGAATATATTGTTGTTAACATTTATGTTGTGGATGAATGTGAGATCCCTATTCATGATATCCCTAATATTGTACACCATAAAGAATCATACACCCACGAGGATGAGGCTGGTACTGACTATAGCTTAAGTGACTTAGAATCTGACTCTAGTTCTGAATCAGAAGGTTATGATTCTAAAGAATTGGAAACATTGAAAGTACAAAAAAAGAGAAAGATAACTGAAGAACTTAATGAGTACAAAGAGTTGTATAAGGGTATGATCTTTAAGGACATACCAGAAGCTAAAAAGTGCATGGAGTTGTATGCTTTGGCAAACAAGAAAATATTAGAGTTGTTGAAGAGTGACAAAATAAGACTTAGGTATAAATGTGATATATTTGGTTGTCCCTTTTTGTGTTTGATATCCAAAGTGAGGAATGGTGGAGTTAAGATCAAGACCTTAAATACAGAACATAGTTGTGGTGTTGCTTATGATAACAATACTGTTGATTTCAGTACTATTGCACAATATTTCAAGCTTAAATTACAGGATAATCCTAAGTCTAAGGTAAAGGAGATGATAGCAAATTTGAAGAGGGTTTTTGAACTAAATATTAGTCATGGAATGTGTAAGAGAGCAAAGAGAATGGTCTTGGAAAGCTTAGATGGTAGTTTTAGTGATGAGTATAACAAACTTGAAGCTTATGCAACTGAATTGAGAGATAGTAATCCAGGCAGTGATGTGGTTATAAACCTTTCAAAGAATGCACTTGAAGAAGGGAGAAGAAGATTCTTGAGGATGTATATTTGCTTTCAAGCTTTAAAGATGGGTTTCAAGCGAGGGTTGAGACTTTTTATTGGTCTAGATGGCACTTTCTTAAAGGGGAAAGCTAAGGGCCAACTACTAGTGGCTGTTGGACAAGATTCACAGAACCATTTCTACCCTTTGGCTTGGGCAGTTGTTGACAAAGAGACAAAGAATACATGAAATTGGTTCTTGCAGTTGCTTCAACATTCTCCAGACCTCAAGGATGGGGAAGGAATTACCTTCATGTCAGACATGCAAAAGGTATTCATATGTCAATCTATTTCTGTCTTTTTCTATTTTTGTCCTCAATTTCTGTCTTTTTCTATTTTTGTTCTAATTTTCCGTCTTTATCAATTTCTGTCCTTTTCTATTTATTTCTGGATTTTCTATTTATTTCTGTCCTATAGTGCTGTCCATGTTCTGTATTTAATTCTGTCTTTAATTCTGTCTTTTTGTTGTTTATGAAATAAAATTTAATTTTGTTCTGTCTTTTTTTTGTTTATGAAATATTCTAAGTGACTGTATGTTTTTGTAACTGGCATAGGAATTAATTGATGTTGTTAGAACTTTCCTTCCTCAATCACTACATAGATATTATGTTAGACATATTGAGGTCAACTGGTGCAAGATATACAATACTGGTGAAAGCAAAAAATTACTTTGGTGGTGTGCATGGTCAACTTATGAGAAGGAATTCAAGGACCAATTGAAGATTGAACCATCACAAGCAATGTAGCCACTTGAGTTGGTGAAGTTGGCTGGCAGGCCGAAAGTTAAGAGAGATAGGCAGAAGGATGAGGCCATTAAAAGGCAAGGATTGTGGTCACAATCAAGAAAAGGAAGAGTTATGACTTGTAGCAAATGTGGAGAGACAACCCACAATGCTAGGACTTGTGGACAGGTAAAATCTAATTTGAATATTTATTTAGCAACTTGGATTTGAAATTTGAACTTGAAATTTGAACTTATTTTATTTTTCTAACTTGGATTTTCTTTGAGCAACCAAAGGGAAAGGGAAAGGGAAAACAACAAACAAAGAAGCCAATAACTTTGATAGATGAAGAAACTGAAGAAGACATTAACTGTTCAGCCCCTCCAATCAGTCAACAAAGTCAAGACAATGACTTTAGGTTCATGCTTACACCTGGAGTTAGGAGTATTGGCCAATCAAGCAAGGATATGGAGATTGATCAATGTAGACATGTAATTTTTGACTCACTCATTAGAATTACCTTTAATAGTCCTAGTATTTTTAGGGTATTTATTGGAGTTTATTTCTATAGGATTTTACTTTATTACTAATTTTAATTCTATTTTTAAGGCACAAAAATTGAAAAATACAAAAATAATTTCATGTTTTATTTAGTTTAGGTTATTGATATTTTTATAGCAATATATTTTTGTTTTTACCATGATTTTCACTTTTATTTTTGAATATGATAGTTTATATAAAAAATGATATATAAAAATATAGTTTCATAGTATGACATATTTTACTTTAATTAATCATAATTAATTTTAAATTATTTTTATAAAGAAAATGTTTAAGATTTCTTAATTGGTAGATTTAAAAGGGTTAAAGTCCCAAATTATAGGCCCAATTCGGATGCTAAAAGAGGCCCATATCTGGGCAGCCCAATCCCATAACCCTTTCAACCCAACCATCCAAACCTTTGACCCGCCGGACTACCCAGTGACCCGCCCCATTTTCTTGGTAAATCCTAGCCCTTCACCCCTTTTTAATCCAATGGCCCTAATTAAACCTTAGCCCCATATAAAAGCTCCTGATAATATTTCCCAACCCTAAATCACTTCAACCAAACGGCGCCTGACCCTCCCCAACACACCTCTGCCCGCGCGCCTACTACCCCAAACTCGCCGGAACTCGTCCAAACCCGGCGAGTTAACTCATATGGTCCCCCCTCATCATTAGCATCTGATTTTAATGCGTTTTCTTCTCATCTCACGTGCTCTTCTCAATTTCTTTGAAGAATCCGAGCCATTCATAAATGGATGATAGTTAAATGGGAGCCATAAGATCGAGATCTTTGGATCCTAAGCGTTCATTTGCCTAAAACCCGTTTACACAAAAAAGGCTTTCGGATTTTTTGGGGATTTTCAGATTTTGGAGATAAAAATCGGTTTTCTCGGAAAAGAGGAGAAGAAGATTCGGGAGGGGATATATATTTGGAAGTTTTCAGACAGTCTTGAGGAGGAAAAAAGAAATCAGAAAATCGGGAAGGAGGAAGTTCTAGGGTTTTGATTTTGATTTCCAGATTTTTCTCTTCTAATTTTTGGTTTTCGTTTTCCATATATATATATATAATAATAAAAACAAAAAAAGGAGGAGTTCTTTCTAGTTTCACTTTTGCTTTTAAGTCAAAAAAGACAAAAAAAAAAGAAGCGGTTTTCTTCTTTTGGATTTTTGATTCTTGGTTTTCCTTCTAGACCTCCGTTTTAGTTCATTCAAAATTTGTTCACTTGAATTTGAATTTCACTTCAAAAATCAGAAAACAAAAACTATATAGTGAGTAAAAAAGATTCTATTTTCTTCACTTCTATTTCGGATTCGCAATTCAACTATGGAGTTGAAGCTGTCTTTCGAGGTCTGCTCGAGGTCTGCTCGTGGTTCCTTTTACGTCTCGAATTTCAGTAGCGGATTTTTCTTTCAAGCTCATGCTTGGTTTTATGCTGATTGTACCATATTCGAACATCGAAGGATAATCGAAATTCCAGTTTTCAGGTTCATACCTCATCCTCTACTGCTTTTATGTGGATCCAAGTACTAAGTTAATCTAGTTTGAATGATTTACCTTCTATGCTTTGGATGTTCTGAGATTCCTTTACATGTTAAAGTATCTTTCAAGGTCAGATTTTTTTAGTTTAAGATGATCGAGTCATTGGCTGTGTTTTGTAAGTTTATCTCGTTTGCTTGCCAAGTCTAGTTTGAAGCTAATTTGAAGTTCTCTCTCTAGTGGTTTTTCATCTTTGTCGAACTGGTTCATCTGTTTGTGAATGGTAATCGAGTTTGATTCTGTTTGGTTTGGTATGCTTTGACCAAGGTCTAGATGGTTGTGTTACTGTCAAGTGGATCATGGCCCGCTGATGTGCTTTTCTTGATGTTGGAGCATAACCCTGTCCATATTTTAGTAGCTTGAAAAGTCAGTGATTCTAGATTGGGTTAATGGTTTTGTTTCTTCTACAATCACAACTTAATGCAAGGTTAACTCGTGTGCTTGGTTCATTCCTAAATTCTTGAGTCGGCACCCACTTAGCTTCACTTGTAGGCCACAAAATTTGATGTTCCTATCCACAAAAGTTCTGCCTAGGCAGTCTGGATGCGTCGACGTGAATCCTTCGTTATTATTCTTCAAGTTCGTCGTGTTTAAATGTCATTAGAAGGTATCATTGGTGTCATGAAGTTTGAGAGTTTTTGTGTCTTGAAATGAAAACTTGAGTTGAAGTCCTTCTCCTTTATTTTTGTCGACAATCATTTAGTGAAATGCCTTGTGAAGGTTCTATGATCTTTCTTAATTAACATTTGGATCAGCTAAAGGGCCCCAATGTCTTGTTAAATTGACGAATTGGTAGACTGTTACTTAGGTAAACTCTGTTAATCAGTGAATTTTCTGATGCCTAGTTTTACTTTTATTAGAAGTGTTCTTTGCGTTTAAAAATAGAAAGTTGAGGAATAAGGCAGTGATGTAAAGTCTGTCACGTATTGGCTCTTGAATTCATGTGTGCGGGGTTTGTTTGAGGTTGGATTAAATTGAAATCAGCACTTTAAAACTATCTGGTGTGGATTAGCTTAGTGGGTGGTGTAGGTTTTCAATTGTAGCATGGGTATTGTTATCATTTGATGTGTTCAAGCAAGTTCTGGGAAGTTTAAAAAAGAGAATAGGGGTTAGCTAAACTCTAAATGGCTTTCATCACATTCTGATTCATCTGAACATTCTTGCCCTTTTCGTTATTCTGCCTTGTCAATTGTGATCTCTTTCTTTTCTTCTAGGTGTTTTCTATGTTGAATATATGAATTATCTTGTATGATTGTTTGGTCGTGGGGATAGGGAAAAAACTAGCCTACTAGTGTTTAAACTTATTTGCATGCTAGGAATGGGCTTGGCCTAGCAAAAGGAAATCAATTGTAAAATATGAGTATGATTTAGAATTTTCATTTCTTTCATTTGCTTATTTTGTTACATTGTTCGTTAGGAGCATGTTTAGGCCGACCACACTTGGGTAGGCAAGCCTTAAGATTTTTGGTTAATTTTGAGGCGAGAGGTCGTTCCCTTAGTTAAATTTATCCGGGGAATGCCCCGAGGGATTTGTATATATTTTATTTCAGGGGTATGCCCCGAAGTGAATGTAATTGGAGGCCTTGGCGAACATCGTAGAAGAAATAGTGTAGAATTGAACTTTAATATTTTCTTTTATTTATTTTTATCTTTTTAGGTGGGGACGACCTCGAGCCTCTTTGTGTTTGTTTTCCTTTTATGTGTTATTACCTCAATTGAATAATTTAAAAGCCAACTAGATCGAGTACGCAATCGTAACCCTCACGGGATTTGGGGAGTGCCTAACACCTTCTCCCCGAGTCAAATGAACCCCCTTACCCAAATCTCTGGTGCGGAGTTGGTTTTATAGTCCAAGTGTTTTAAAAGGAAAATTATCTTTTTTTTTAAAAAAGGGTGACCTGGCACATCGAAATCAATGTCAAGTGGCGACTCAGTAATTTCCTTTTGCACAAAATTCCTGTCACTTTCTAATTGAAAACCCTTTTTAAGCTTTATAAATTCCTTTTATTTATTTAAGAGGGGTTAGTGAAGTTTGGTAAAAAAAAAGGGGTGCGACAATCAAGATGTTGTATTGAGGACAAGAGTGATATCAAAAGTCAATACAAGACTTAGATGAGACAGCAAGTGCCAATACCCACTGGTACAAGGTCAATCACCTTCACTGGTGATCACACTGGTGTGAGTGATCCATCAAACCTTCCATACTCACCACCATCTTTAAGCTGGAAAGGAAAATCTGTTATAACTGCAAATCAGTTAGAAAAACATTTGCAGTTAGAAAAACAAAGGCAACAGAGGATTGGAAAGCTTAGGCTAAGGAAAGGAACTTGATGACCAAATTGAACTTTTTTTGTGTTTTGATGGGATGTATTAACTGCAAACTTTGCTGCAAACTTGTTAATATTGGTACTGGATTTAGATGTCATATTATGACTTGGTTGTATAAGTTTTTGTTGTTATAATATGACATCCATTCATCCATTTGGTGATGTAACTACTGTGATAATAGTACTTAAATGCTTATTGACTAGTATTTATTCAGTGAATTGTCCCTTTTAAGTTTGCACAGTGTTGTAGTTTTGAATGTGCTGTAGTTTTGAATGTTATCTTTTGGTCTTAACAGTGTTGTAGACTGTAGTTTTGAAATGATCCAGGATTAGGTATTTACACATCAACTAGAATTCACAATAACTTGTCCCAGATAGTGCAGTAAAACTGTGTTGAAATTATCTTAACAGTGATATAGTTTTGAAATAATACAGGTTTATGTGTTTATTGACTAGAATTCACAATAAGTTATTCCAGATAGTGCAGTAAAACTGTATTGAAATGATACAATTTTTAAGTAACAATGCAACATGAAAAAGCATTACAAATCAGTAGGCCTTACATAAAGTAGAAATATTTTCATAACTTCATCACAACAACATTAAACTTCATAAAAAATACATTAAAGTAGGCACTATATTTTACACAATACATTTCAATAGGCACTATACATATCAGTAGGCACTACACATATCAGTAAGGCAACATAAACAATACCAACTACACATTTCAGTAGGCACTACACAATACATTTCATCAACTATATTTAACTTCATCAAACACGATAATTTGTTCACAATAACTTGTCCGAAATTGGTCTTAACAAATGCATTATTTCATCATTATTGCAGCAACAAAGCCAACAAACAGTGTAAACAATATCAAAACAAACATCTTCATCTTCAACAATTTCTCTTCCATCTCCCTTGCTTTATTCACTTCAATATTTTTTACAGCCTCTAATACATCAACCTTTTCCAGCAATTTGTCCCTTTCAACTTTGCACGTTTCCAACAACTGATTCAACATATTGATTGTCAGATTAGCAGCATCTAATTTGCACTGCAACTTGTTGATTGCTATCAACGCGCTGTCGGGGTAGGCTTCGTCTTGCCATTCCTAATATCCGCACGACTCATTCTAACAAAAATAACCAATTACGAAATTTTGTATCATACCTTCAAATTATGAATCGCAAGCAAAATTAAAATTTACTTCGGGTTTAGCACACTTAGAGAATCTCCTTCCAGGATTTTGAGCTGTGGTTGATTTGAAGTTTTTGGCAATCTCTCCACAATGGCACCTCCTATTTGATGTAGCAGTTGAATCGGACATGGAACCCACGTTTGAGACTGAATCTTGAGTTTTGGAATTACGATTTTTTAAGTAATACAGAGGAGACGAACCTTTGAGACTGAATCTTCAGTTTTGGATTTACTAATTTTGAGTAATAGAGAGAGGACGATTTTTCTCTATTAAGGGTGGGACAAAATTAGGGTTCTAAGCTGTGTTTTTAGTTTTAGAAGGGTGGGTCAATTTAGTGGGTCGGAGCGGGTTGGGTTATTAAAAGATCCGAATTCTCTTCAGCTTTAAGGTTACGCCACGTGTCTATGCCGTCTAATTAGGGGCATTTTTATTTAATAGTGTAACGGTGAGGGGTTTTATGTCCTGATAGTATAACGAGGAATATTTTTAAACAATTGTTAATAGTAAAGGGATATATCAAACCCTTTACCGTTTATTTAATCCCTTTTGTGACACTGCAGGAACAAGCTGATACTTTTGCATCTAAAGAAGTTGCAATATCCTTGGGGCTCGCCAACCAACCTTACCATGAGCCATCCTACATTCAGGTTCTCTCTGCTCAATTGAGTTGCTCGATAAAGCAATATCAATTGAGCACCAGTAGTATCGCGGTATCACAAAATGTGTGAAGAGGGAAATTGCATTTGGTTTATTTCCAGCACAACTTGGAAGATATGTGATTTATACTGTGATTGCAGTTTATTTTTCTTTGATGATCCTCCAAGAAAAGAAATTGAACATCAACTAAGGTCTAGGCAGTTTTTGGCTGATCCTTCTTCAGTAATTGAATGTCAGAGCATCTACAATCTTGGTACCCATGTCACGACGAATCTGAAAATTGACGGCAAGAGCATCAGAGTAAATATAATACACAGTTTTTTTCTTTCCTTTTTTTTGGGAGGGTGGGGGTGGGGAGGGGGATAGGCAGCAAACTCAGCATTTGTTACAAAATATGATACTCCGTTGATTGTAATTCTCAATACATGAAAATTCGATGTAAGCTATCAAATACTTAATCCAGAAACTGCTATTTTAACTTGTAAGGAAGGAAAAGGATTTCAAACGTTGCTATCAATGTAAATATGATGTAATTCTGTTGAAGGGTGTATTCTTTTACAACTATGACCACAGATTTTTTCGTCTAAAAGTTTTTACTTCTTTGATTATCGTAGAAGGTATCCTTGAGCTGGGTCTATCGGAAACAACCTCTCTACACTCAAGGCAGGGGTAAGGTCTGCGTACACACTACCCTTTTTAGATCCCACTCGTGGAATTATACCGGATTTGTTGTTGTTGTTGTTGATTATCGAAGAAGGTATGATTGTGGTTTATATAGGGGACTCATTAGTAACTATATGAATCAACTGCAAATGAAGTAACTATTACGAGACTGACTTGTAATAGTATTTGAGATATACTTATAAATCGAATTTCGAAAATGAAGTAACCGAGATGAGGATGTTAAGATGTATGTGCGGGCATACTAAACTGGATAAGATAAGGAATGAAGATATTCGGGAGAAGGTGGACGTTGCTCCCGTGGACAACAAGATGCGGGAAGCGAAGCTTAGGTGGTTTGGGCACGTGCGGAGGAGAACCATAGATTCCCCAGTTAGGAGGTGCGAGCGGTTGGCTTTGGCAGGTACCAGAAGAGGTGAGGGCGGCCTAAGAAGAATTGGGGCGAGGTGATCAGGCAAGACATGACGCGACTTCAGATTTCCGAGGAAATGGCTCTTGATAGGAACGTGTGGAGGTCGAGCATTAGGGTTGTAGGCTAGGGGGTAGTTCATAGTTTTTCCCTCTTTGTACTGGGTAGTCTGATAGAGTTTAACCTATGTCTGTTAGCGGTCTTTGTTTTCACACTATTTTATTGTTTTGCATATGATTGTATTATTGCACTCCCTTTCACTTATTTGGTGTATCTTAAGATATTATTATTATTTCTCTTGTTTCTTTTGTTGTTACAGATCTTTTCTTTCGTTTCTTTTCTGATAATATTGTCTTTTCTGTTGAGTCGAGGGTCTCCCGAAAACAGCCTCTCTACCTTTCCGGGGTAGGGATAAGGTCTGTGTACATCTTATCCTCCCCAGACCCCACTAATAAGATTTTACTGGGTATGTTATTGTTGTTGCTACTTATAAATAGCATATCATAAACATGGTTAATAAATTGTCCAGAAATGTGACTAATAACCCCATTTGAGGATGAGATATAGATTGTAGAATATAAATTATTGTGAGCACGTGATTTTTGCTTCACGCGACAATCGCTCCAAAAGAAATAAAAAATAATAACAATTGATCCTGTTGTACAATTTTTGGATTTTTACATGGCACTTTGTTAATTGTTTATGATTTTTTGCCCATTTTATTTTTATTAAAACAAGATACAAAAAATGTATGTGTCATGCATAATTTGAACCGTAATCCGGTTGTTAAACAGAAAATCATAAATAGGCATCTTTGTCCGTGATTTTGTTTTGTTTGATTTTACCTGTTTTAAAATATTTTAATGTGTGTGCAAATAATTGTATTAAGTGTTTATTTAATTTTAATTTGATTTACTTAGGTTTTGTTTTTAAAATAAAGAAGAAAATAAAATAATAATAA